AGAGAGAAATGTTTTGAGGATGGGCTGCAGAAATATTGAGACTACCATCATGGAGATTTTCAATAGATTTGGCTGGAGGTCGACCAAGCGGATTGGAGTTTAACTTAGATTGAGTTTTGTTTTATTTTCTTCTTTCGAAGCATGCTCTTGTGTTGTATTGTTTTGTTCTTGTGTTGTAGCTTAAATGTTACTTTGGTTATGTATCCACTGTATGCACTTGTGTGGAGGCCAAGATGTTTGTTTCCTTTATCTAAAAAATAATATGATGATGTTGTAGCGCTTTTCAATACAAAATCCTATATTTAGGCCATCTCCAGTGAGGCATACAAATCGACTCATGGTCCTACGTTGATTTGAGTCAACCCAATTGCTAGAGGGAGTTGAATCATAGAGGGGAGAGAAGAGTCAACTCTAATCTTTTTATCGAATCATAGGAAATAAAAAATTGAATCACTTCAACTGATTGACATCATAACTAGCGGTGGATGATGTTCCAATGCAGGAAGTGCATCTTTGGCTTGTTGCAATGAACTCGTCGTGGGCACAGCAAAATGCACATCGCTGCCTCTCGGGTGGAAATGCTCACTAACTATCCTCTCCTTGCCACCCGCACCTGCCAGCTCTCTCCTAAGAAGACTCCAACCGTACCTCCTCATTGCCTTTCATGATCCAGCGCTTGACATCTAGCAGCCACACCTTACCTTTTGGCCGGGTCAATTGTCTTGGTCCTTCCCTCTTTCACTGCCATCCTTGGTCTCATCCTTCACATCACTCATCACCCTAGTCTTCTGTTGCATGTCAGTTGTACTCCATATCAAGGACTCGAGGTGGAGATTAGAGTCAAGATCGGAGTGGAGAAGCTTTATGTGGCATGAGAAAAAAGTATGACCGATTCACCAATAGAGATGTTCTTCAAGGAATATTTCCTTTGGGATTGATCTGTCCAAATTTTGGGACGAGTTTGCACCAAAAATTTAAGAAATATTCCCTTAATAAGGATGACTACACCGGTCCATGTTTCAAGGGCATTGGTGCCCAATACAGTGGGTCCCCGACTCCGGAGTTCATAGGTAGATTGGGTACTAGCACTAGGATTCTTCCTTGGACGCCCTATGGTGAAGGGGGTGAGATTAAGAGCAGCAAAGGTAGATTAGGAGATAACTTGTTTCTTGATTGATTCATCATAAGCTGATTATAGAATATATAGAGCAGCCCTAGCCCCTGGGCGCCCAGCTCTGGTCTCTTTGTTTCTCTCCCCATTAAACATTCTCTCATTACTCTAATCTCTTCCCCATAAACCTTAATTGCTGCTGACTACAGCTGGTACCTCCTCAGATGCCCCTCTGGCCCTTCTGGCCACATCTCGAGCCCTGGGACGTCTTTCATAATGGCACCCCCACATCTCGAGCCCTGGGACGTCTTTCATAGTGGTTGAAAGCGCACTTGGAGCTCTTGACAAAGAGGCAATGTTGGTGAAGCATGGAGAGGATAGCGTGGACATGGCACAGGTGCTCCGCCAGGGAGCTGTTGTAGATCAGAATATCGTCGAAGAAGACGAGGACAAAGCGGCGCAAGAAGGCGCGCAACACACCATTCATCAACGCCTGAAATGTGGCCAGGGTGTTGCACAGCCCAAATGGCATCACGAGGAACTCATAGAGGCCATCGTGAATCCATAATGCCGTCTTCTCCACATCAGCGGGGTTCATGCAGACTTGATGGTAGCTGGAACACAGGTCAAGCTTGGTGAATTAGCAAGCACCATGCAACTCATCCAGGAGTTCATCCACCACTGGAATTGGGTAAGCATCTTTGATGGTGATGGCATTGAGGGCTCTGTAGTCGACGCAGAACAGCCACGTATCGTCCGCCTTCTTGACCAGCAACACAGGGGATGAGAACGCCGAGTTGCTATGTTGGATCAACCCCTGTGCCAACATGGTGGAGCACTGGTGCTCTAGTTCATCCTTGTGGGAGATGGGGTAGCAGTAGGGCGGCGGACAGCCACCAACGAGGACCCTAGGACGAGGTTGATGCAGTGGTCCCGGGATCGTGGTGGTGGCATGTCGGTGGGCTCGGCGAAGATGGAGCTAAACTCATCCAGCAAGGCCGGAAGAAGGTCGACATTGTTGCATGCCCACAGAGAGGGGCTGACTGGTCCAGCGACGCCCTGCCAGCAAACGCGATGATCCCAGTGCTAGAACGACTTGGTGAGCGCTCTGAAATCCCAAAGAATTAGGCCAAGGGATGCCAACCAGTGGGTGCCGAGGACGACGTCATAGTCGGCTAGCGGCAGGGCGAAGAAGTCGGTGGAGAAGGTCTCGTCGTCAATGGAGAAGGCCACTGCGCGATACATGCTAGGGCACAGCACGCGCTCCCCATTGGCCACCGTCACATTCATGTTGCCACGGGGCAGGAGCTGAAGCAAAGTGTGTGCTGCGACTTCTTCAGAGATGAAATTGTGTGTCGAGCCGGAGTCAATGAGCACGAGGAGGGAGGCACCGCCCAGCTGGATACGCACTTGCATTGTTTCGCTGGTGCGGACGCCATCGATGGCGTGTAGCGAGATGTGCGGATTGACTGCCTCAACTGTAGCCACATCCTCGGTGGCCTGGACATCTTCAACTTCATCTTCTTCAGCCAGGTCATGGAGAAAAATGTGCTGGCAGACCCGGTTGTGACCCGGGCCAAATTTTTCATTGCAGTTGAAGCAGAGGGTGAGGCGAAGGCGTTCCTCCATTTCGGTCTGCGAAAGACGCTTTACGTGGCGGCCTTTGATGTAGACCGTGGAGGATCCAGTCCTGGTCGGGGGAGTAGGGAGCGCTAGCTGAGGGGGCGGCCCTATGAGGAGGCCACGCGCCGGCGCCCGTGGTGGAGCAGGCAGTGATGCAGCCACCATAACGTACTGCTCGCGTTGCTCTAGTTTGTGGGCGAGGCTCATGGCGACCATGAGGGATTGGGGATTGTGGATCTCGACGTCGAGGCTGAGTGGTGGCTGGAGTCCCGCCGTAAAGGCCTGGACGGGCTGAGCCTCCGTCAGCGTGCTAATGCGGGGCAGCAGAGCCTCGAACCGGTCCTGATACTCAGAGACAGAGCCGGTTCGCTTGTAGGCCATCAGTTCACCCAGCGGATTGGACCGGATCGGCGGCCCGAAGCGGAGGTTCAACAATTCAGAGAAACGCCGCCAGGATGGAGTGCCCTCATCTTGCTGCACCTGGAGGTACCACATCTGGGCGCTAGCCTCTAGGTTGTATGATGCCATCCACACTTGTTCCTCCACCGTAATGCGCTGCTGATGAAAATATGACTCACAGCAGTTTAGGAAGGCCAGCGGATCAGACATCCCGTCAAATTTGGGGAAGTCAAGCTTCTGGAACCGGGGCGGTTGATCACCCATCTGGTTGCCATGACCAGAACCTTGGGAGCCTGAGAAGGATGCTGCTAGTCGCTCTTGTTGCAGGGCCGCCACCTACCTCTGGAGGGTGCTAATGGAGGCGTTCATGGAGGTGGTCAAGTCCTGGATCAACTTGGGCAGATTAGTTGCTGATGGTTCGGCCATGGTTGAGGATATGGAGGCGTCTGAGGTGGATGGTGAGGCTAGGGTGGGAGGCGTGGTGGTGGCTGGAGGGGGTGGTGGTGGCTCAGCGGATGAAGAACGCCTGGAAGCCGATACCAGGTTGTCAAGGGCGTTGGTGCCCAAGACAGCAGGTCCCCGACTCCGGAGTTCGTAGGTAGATTGGGTACTGGCGCTGGGATTCTTCCCTGAATGCCCTATGGCAAAGGGGGTGAGATTAAGAGCAGCAAAGGTAGATTAGGAGATAACTTGTTTCTAGATTGATTCATCATAAGCTGATTACAGAATATATAGAGCAGCCCCAGCCCCTGGGTGCCCAGCTCTGGTCTATTCGTTTCTCTCCCCATTAAACATTCTCTCGTTACTCTAATCCCTTCCCCATAAACCTTAATTGCTGCTAACTACAGCTGGTACCTCCTTGATGCCGCTCTGGTCCTTCTGACCACATCTCGAGCCCTGGAACGCTTTTCATAATGGCGCCCCCACATCACACCGTGTCTCTGAACCAAACATTTGTCCCTATCTTATCTCTCAACCAAATGCTATAAAAAAGAGCCAAATGAGATGATTAGACACTCCTTTTTATCCCTTGTCCACACGGTAGCACAAAGAAAGAAACCATTAGCATGAGGTATGTATTGATCAATCTTTTGTCCTCATAATGTGGTTGATATGAAGACTAAATGTATAGAAAAGATGAGAAACTAATAACTTTAGAAAATATGAAAACCACACGCGAAGACATGCCAGATGAAAAACATTGAGGTTGGAAGGAAATGAGCTGGATACCTTACTGGCTCCTCTTTCTTGTCTTTACAACTATGTTCGTTCCTCTTCCCAGCTACGCAAATACATATCCTCCCCGTTCCAAAATAAACACACATCTTGGTTTACGATGAGTCAAAATCTTTTAATAAAGCATATAATACTAACAAAGGGGAGCCGAAAGATATAACAAGAAAACAAAAGAAAAAAGAATAAATGACCCGAAAGTGTGAATTAAACATAGGAAAAGGGGTTATGTATAGAAATGAAAAGAAAAAGATAAGAGAGAAGATGGTCACGGTAGCTATTAGCCAAACAAACACTCTTCTAGGCTCTTCTTCTTCCTCCGTCTCTCTTTGTCAGTTTGTCCACTTCTAATGTCACATAAGTAAATAAAGAAATAAATCAAGTATTTATTGCGAGGCTGGCCTCTCCGCCTTCTTCTCTCTCCCTCCGAATCGAAACGCCGATGCAAATGCTGCTCCACGCCGGTCCCTCGTTCCTGCTCGCGCCACCTCCGCGCTTCGCCGACGCTACCGCCCCGTCGTCAGCTTCGCCGAGGAGATCGAGGACACCGCAATCCTCGCCGCCGACGTCGCATTCCGCGCGCGCCGCTGCACCCGGGCCCCGGAGGGTGCGTCCCGTCGCGCCGAGGCCCCCCATGGCGACGGGGGAGGAGGGCGCCGGCTCTGACCTCGGCCTCGCCGAGGCCACCCAGGTTCGGCCGCCACTGCCGCTCCTCACGTTGCGGAGTTTACGCAATTATTATCGCTTGGGCTACCTTTTTGCCCATGCCAACAATTACGCCGTTACCCCTTAACCTGTATTGGTCGGGCGCACATGGTAGTCACACGAACGCCATCCACCATTAGTGAGCTCGTGGTGGTGATCTGATCCTGAGCTCTTCAGGTGCTCCACCTGCACGAACACCAGCAGGATAATGATGGTGGTCCACTTGTCATTGTCATTAAGAGTGGCATACATTTGGAAACCAGTGAACTTTTACGAAAACTGGAAGGTTTTCCTTTGAACATTGTGAAATATTTGGATCCAGCATATGGGAATGATATGCGTACATTTGTCTAGAAGATTGGACAGTACTTCCGTAGAATTTGAACTTTTAGTGTCTTCAGTGGAAATTATCGGTCCAAGTCTCACATTTCAGACCATGTTGTTGCCCAAAACTTTGGAGCACAAAATTTTACCATGGATGGTTTATTTCTGATTTGGCTAAATCTCACAATTTAGCATCTAATTTTACCAAGTCTCTTGGAGTTGCTCTTAAAATGGCGTCTGCGGCTCACTCAAAGCCTTCTACTGAGGATTTTTTAGTATTTTGTTTGTTTGATACTGCTTTCTGACTTCTTAGTGTTCCTTTGGTCAAACGCTGATGTTGCATCTGCAGGGGTTCTTGTTGGATGCGAGGGCTTACTGGGTGACAAGATCCTTGATTGCATGGGATGTCAGTGATCAGGAAACTTCTCTCTTCTTATATGCAAGCAGAAATGCTACAATGTGCATGTCAAGTGGGGTTATTGAAGGTAGGTGCCATCAACAGGTGCCTTGTAAACTCATGCACCAACTGATTACGATAGTAACAGCCTGAGCCTCATTAACATTACAATTCTTGCTGGTTTGGTAGGTTATGATTCCAAAGTTGAGCTGCAACCAGAAAATGACGGACTTCCATCCAGTGTACGAGTATTATTGTAATTATCTGTTGTGCTGCAGTTCCTGTTATGATTGTCCCTCTTTCTGTTTTGTTTTTCCAAACAATATTCTAACATTGGAGTACCATTTCACTATCTTCAGGTGACCCAGAAATTCACTTTTATCAGCTCTTATAGAGCCTTTAGAATTCCGAGCTCTGTTGATGTTGCCACCTTGGTGAAATGTCAACTTGCTGTTGCTTCTTTTGATGGTAATGTCTAAACTATGCTGCCTTTTCTGTAAATACCTTCACCAAAACTTTCATCAGGACAATATGTATTGTTACAAGCAGCTCATGGGAACAGGCAAGATGTTACTGGGTTGCAACTACCTGGAGTATTGGATGACATGTTCGCCTACACTGGACCACTTGGTACTATTTTTAGTGAGGAAGCTGTGAGTATGTACCTATGGGCTCCTACAGCACAGGATGTATGTGTGAACTTCTATGATGGTCCAGCTGGCCCTTTACTGGAAACAGTTCAACTCAACGAGTCAAATGGTGTTTGGAGTGTTACTGGTCCAAGAAACTGGGAGAACCGGTATTATCTATATGAAGTCACAGTATATCATCCAGCTACAGCAAACATTGAGAAATGTTTAGCCACTGATCCTTATGCTAGAGGGTAAAGTGCATTTTTCTTAGTTCATGATACTAGCCATGGAGAAATAGGAAGACATTAATGCTTGTTATTTTGACCAGGCTTTCTGCAAATAGCACAAGGACTTGGTTGGTTGATATTAATAATGAAACATTAAAGCCACTTGCCTGGGATGGATTGGCGGCTGAAAAGCCAAAGCTTGATTCCTTCTCTGACATAAGCATATATGAATTGCACATTCGTGATTTCAGGTGAACTGTTCTCTGCGACTGTAAATTTGGTGGGATGGATCTATGCATGCTAGTATACACAGAATTGAGCCCTCTGCTTGCTGTCAATTTTTTTTATTACAGTGCCCATGATAGCACAGTGGACTGCAATTTTCGAGGAGGATTCTGTGCATTTACATGTCAGGTTATTTACAGTTAAATTAACAGAAAATTCAGATTTTTCACCACTTTATTTCATCAACAGGCATCTTAGACCCATTCTACAACTTGTTATACAGGATTCTGCAGGCATAGAACACCTAAAGAAACTATCTGATGCCGGTTTGACTCATCTCCATTTGTTGCCAAGCTTTCAGTTTGGTGGTGTTGATGACATAAAGAACAATTGGAAATGTGTTGGTAAAGATTCATCTCTTTCTCTATGTTTTACCAGACAAATGTAAATCTCTTGCAGTCTTGCTCAAGAATCAAGATGGTAATGCCACTGTTGCGTCTTGCATGCTATTCATTTACTTTTAACTTCTACAATAGCTAAGAAATCAGAACCCAAGCTTTTTAGTCTGGTCTATGAATTAGAATATTAAGATATATGTAAACCTCATAACGTATCGTTTTGAATCAAAGAAATTTCATCTCTTTAGGGTTTAATATGGTTCCATGTATCTTCCTTTTTTTTATTTCATACATAGCTTTCTATGATTACTATCAATAAGTTTTCAATCGATTAAACTGGACTCCATCAGCTACATTTTGTGTGCTTTTATTTTATTTATTAAGGTTATTCTTGTTTGAGTAACTACAGAACTTTTATGTACTTTGGCAGATGAGGCTGAACTGTCAAAACTCCCTCCAGGATCAGATTTGCAACAAGCTGCAATTGTGGCTATTCAGGAAGAGGACCCTTATAATTGGGGGTACTTATTGTTTTGCTTCATTTCTCTTGCTTGTCAAACATTCAATATTTAATGTATCACAAGGGTGTGCTATGAATGTTATGTTTCTTATGTTATTGCCCACAAACTATTCTCATGCATGGTCACATACAACTAAAAGGTATAATCCTGTGCTTTGGGGGGTTCCGAAAGGAAGCTATGCAAGTAACCCAGATGGTCCAAGTCGTATCATTGAGTACCGACAGATGGTGCAGGTAAGCTTTTCTTTCTATCACTGAACTTTCTTACATGAACAGTTGCAACTTGCATCACTCATCCTATTCCTGCTATTGCAATGCATGGAGGAAGGACTTGTGTGCTTAATGTGGCACTTTGCAGGATAACAGATGTTTTTATGATAAACTTTGAAGTGCAGGCCTTGAATCGCCTAGGTCTTCGAGTTGTCATGGATGTTGTATACAATCATCTATACTCAAGTGGCCCTTTTGCCATCACTTCCGTGCTTGACAAGGTTGCCTCATGTTTTCTGGTTATGTTCTTTTTTTCCTTAACCATCCCAAATAAAAAAGTATTTCTTAATCTTTATTAAATATACTTAGGTCCCGTTTAGCATGGCTCCAAACGACTCCGGGCTCCTTACACGGAGCTAGAGCGGGTGAAGCCAGAAATAGTGTCTTCACCGGCTCCTAGTTAATTTTGAGAGGAGAGATAAAAGAGGCTTCTCACTTCCGTGCACGGAGGAGCCGGAACCAGAGCCGCCCAGAGCTCTACCAAACGGGCCATGGGGCCTCACAAGATCACATCAGGTCATTTCTCATATGCAGAGTTAAAGACATAAAAAAGGCCTGTTTTGCAGGATTTTTAGGCTGAGTTTCTTGGCATAAACCACAGAAATTCTGCCAAATGATGCAAACCTGATGTTTTTAAACAGAAACCAGTTGAAATGTTTTTATTTTTTCAGTGCAAGGGAGAAACCAGTTAGCCAAACAAATTTCCAGGAATCAGAAACCCAATGAGAAAAAACACTTCTTACCAGAAACTGAAACTGAAACTATTTCTCAAGAAACTGGATCCCAGAAGGCCCTGCTATTGTTTCATTGAAATTGGTCCAACTCTAGAGTTATACATATTAGAGGTTAATTGATGTCCAATTGAAGTTACTTCTCTTAACTAGTTCTATAGTAACCTTTTTTTTTACAATGTAGTTCAGATAAAAAACCATTACATTACATAAATTAGTGAAGTTTTCTTTCAAGCTTGGGACATTGAAAATAGTTTTGGTTTACTGAACACTACTAGGTGTCCTTTCTTCCCCTCAAAAAACCAAAGTGTCCTTTCTGTGAAGCTAATAAAATGTTCCACTGACCTATAAATTATAAAAATATATACTAATAGCTTTCCTTGGATGCTGTGTTGTATACCAGTAGAAAGAAATAGGTGAACTATAGTTTTGGACAAAGAAATGGCAGGTATTTGAAATGCTTGCCCCTTGATTGCTTTGTTCGTTGGCCCTGAAATATGTTTTATAGTTCTAACATATACATTTGTCAGTTATCTCAAAGTTCCTCATCCATTTTTTGACAAAAAAGATGACATATGTGCTACCTTCTTCATGTATCCTTATTCCTAATCATTGTCTGTTGATGATATTTACAGATCGTACCTGGATACTACCTTAGAAGGGACTCTAATGGTCAGATTGAGAACAGCGCAGCTGTGAACAATACAGCAAGTGAGCAGTTCATGGTTGATAGATTAATCGTGGATGACCTTCTGAATTGGGCAGTAAATTACAAAGTGAGTCGTAATTGTAAAATATCATACATATGTAGAATCACAGGAAAATATGTAGATGATCTTGTGTAGAATCACAGGAAATACATTAATGAGTTAATGACAACATGCTGCTTCTCTCCTTTCTTTTTGGCCAAAAAAAAATGTGTTTAGTGGTAGCATGTCTTTTAACACTGACCTATTATTCATTATTATCTATATTTATGATTGTATAGTTGTTGCCCTAGGTTGATGGGTTCAGATTTGATCTAATGGGACATATCATGAAAAAGACAATGGTAAGTAAGCTCACCTTCAGACTGGATTAAGTATCATGATGATTTGGTGGTTAAACCGAAATAATTCTTTTGGTTTGATCCCCATGATCTAGTACAAGTATTTGCATTAATCTTGTCAAATCTCACTTAGTAATAGCTGTTTTTTTTTTCTCGAACACGCAGGAGAGCTGCGTATCATTGTATTAATAGAAGAAAAAGAGAGTCATACATAGACCCGAACCCCACACACACACACACCACTACCTAGACACTGGATCACCGGTTAAGAAAGACAAAAAGACGACCCTACAGCAGTCCATTAGACTGATCCTCCAGCAGAGAGCAGGGAAATTCCTTTGGCTCCTGCTAGGCTCCACCAATGAGCCTCTTCCCTAGCCAGAGCCAGAGCCAAGTTAACATTTGGGGTTGCCCCATTAAAAACACAATCATTTCTATGCCGCCAGATGCTCCAGGCTCCCAAAATGACTAGGGAATTCAGACCCAACCTATAATCTCCACTAGCAGCATTATCAACTTTTCTCCACCAATTATCAAATGATTGGTCAGAAGGTTGAGGAGCAAGTGCTGCAAAACCAAAGCGCGACAGGAAGGAGAACCAAAAGTCTCTTGAGAATACTGTAATAGCTGTTTGTGGAAGTTGTTCTCCAGTGGCACTGAAACTATACTCCCTGTGGTTCCATATTCCTGACATTTTGAACAAGGTTGAGGTCAACTTTTTAGAACTTTAATATTTAGTTTGAAGACGCAAAGAAAACATTTATAGATTAGTCTTGAAAAGTACTCCCTCCATTCCAAAATGTAAAATCGTTTTGGCTTTTCTAGATACATAACTTTTGCTATGCACCTAGATATAGTTAAACCTATGTATCTAGAAAAGCTAAAACGACTTATTGATTTTTTTGTAATATTGTTATATAAAATCAGTCAAATCTATGTTTTAGAGATCGTGCCATCCAAAACGACAGAAATTATGAAAACAGAGGGAGTACAATTTGAATAATTTCCTTTTAACCTCTGATTTCAGCATATTGATTTGCTGGAGTTGATCTAACTGGACCTAATAAATATTCTTTAAGCACGTTCTCAGAAAAAAATTCTTTATGAAATTCTCACCTCAGTTTCTTTCAGCAAGGTATATTTAAGACAAAAATACAGCAAATATCAATATGCAGGCTGTGGATTTAGTTGCTGAATTTTGTACCTTGTAGCTTAGGTGGGTGATATGTTTTGCCTTAGGTATTCAGTTATCTATGTCTAGCATGTCAGTCAATATGGAGAAAACCATTTTTTTTGTTATTTAACAAGGATGGAACAATAAGTATATGAAATTCAATACCAAAAAGCTAAATCTATGCATCTGTTCATATTATTTTAGAAACTTGAGAGAAAGAACAGTTTGTGCTTTTGAGTATAACAAATGTTACTAGCTTTTTTGCAACATGTGACAGTGAGGTTGGATTGTTGCACAGAATGTCTGTGGGCAGTTGAATTTCCCTTTTTCGTAATTTAGTGTACTGTACTATGTACTTGAAAACAATCCTGCTTGTTGAACACAGATTAGAGCAAAATCGGCTCTTCAAAGCCTTACAATTGATGAGCATGGAGTAGATGGTTCAAAGATATACTTGTAAGGACTGAGATTCCTGAGCCTCAGAGCAATCGGTTTTAATGTTATTGGCACACAGTTTCCATATGTTCAACTGTTTAAGACATTTACATCGTCACAGGTATGGTGAAGGATGGGACTTCGGTGAAGTTGCGCAAAATCAACGTGGGATAAATGGATCCCAGCTTAATATGAGTGGCACTGGGATTGGTAGGTAAGTTTAATTGGAACAAACTCGTGATGTTCAGTGGCCACCTTTTATTTGCTACTTGTAAACAAGCTGGCCTTGTTAGACATGCAGAACAAATTTCGGTGTATATTTTAACTATCATAAAATGGACTGAAAAAGTGAAGTATCAACATTCCAAAAAAGAAAGCATCTTGGTACAGTTTATCTAGTAAATAGCTTGTCTTGGAATCTTTCCTTTTGTTTTTTTTTGTTATGTATTTAGTTTCTTTTAATCTATGCAATGTGACTATATCCCATACCACTACCATATTTACAGTTTCAACGATAGAATCCGTGATGCTATAAATGGTGGCAGTCCATTTGGGAATCCACTACAACAAGGTTTCTCTACTGGATTGTTCTTAGAGGTAATATTCATGCCATTTATAATTATATCCTATCAAGAAATAAGACCTCTGCTGCTTTTATATTTCCATATAATCTTGCAGTTTCTTTTTTCTTTTCTTTTCTTTTTGTTTCGCAAAACTGTAATATTGCCCTCTTCGGCACATATTTTTTTATTAAGAAAAGTTTATGTACAAACCAAACAAAGTAAAGGAATTACAAAGGAGAATGAAAACTCCTTTTTGAAGCTTTGCGACCTTTTTAGAGGGATTGCTAATTGCAAAGTTGGAGATGGATCAACCGTTCTCTTTTGGTCAGATCTATGGAATAAGACCTCTGCTGCTTTTATATTTCCATATAATCTTGCAGTTTCTTTTTTCTTTTCTTTTCTTTTTGTTTCGCAAAACTGTAATATTGCCCTCTTCGGCACATATTTTTTTATTAAGAAAAGTTTATGTACAAACCAAACAAAGTAAAGGAATTACAAAGGAGAATGAAAACTCCTTTTTGAAGCTTTGCGACCTTTTTAGAGGGATTGCTAATTGCAAAGTTGGAGATGGATCAACCGTTCTCTTTTGGTCAGATCTATGGAATGAGAATGTCACGCAGATCAAATTTCCAAGGCTCTACTCTTTTGCAAAGAACAAGAAGATCTCTGTGTCACAATTTCTGTTAAACAATCACAGTTTCATCTCCCCTTGTCTGAACAAGCATATCTTGAATGTCAAGATCTTCAGGAATACATACAAACAATTCAGGTGGAGCAAGATACTAAAGATTCTTGGAGTTACTTGTGGGGGAGCAGCAACTATACATCATCTAGATTCTACCACCTACCCTACAAAAATTTACAGCCTCCTGCTCCCTTTCTCTGGATTTGGAATTCAAAGTGCTGCAACAAACTCAGAGTGTTCTCCTGGCTTCTGCTCATGGATAGGCTAAATACTAGAAACATCCTTAGGAGAAAAAAGCACAAATTGGAGGGAAATAACTACAACTGTGTTCTGTGCAGCAATAATGTTGAGGAAACTGCTTATCACCTGTTTTTCAGCTGCCCCTTCAGCCAGGAATGTTGGCAGCACTTGGGAATCCACTGGAACCTTCAGAGTGAATTCTTTCAAATGATGATACAGTCAAAACAGCAACACCAAAATCCCTTCTTCATGGAGACCTTCATCATTGCTGCTTGGCATATCTGGAAGCAGAGAAACAACTTCATTTTTGATAGAGGCCGGCCTTCTTTCTCTTCTTGGAAAAACCTCTTCTGTGAAGAGGCCAAACTTCAAGCTTTTAGAATGAGAGATGACAAATGTGCAGCTTTTCTCCTCTGTTTAGATCTTCTCTCTTAGACCTCCCTGGCTTTGGGCCGGCGGTTCCCTTCCTGCTGTAGCTACCTCAGCCCTCCGGCTGGTTGGTTTGTTGTATATTCTGTCTCTTTGTACAGGTTTATGTTTGTTTTAAAATTAAATAAAATCCTACAGTGGGGGCTTCCCCTGCTGTATTTCCCGTTCAAAAAAAGAATGAAAACTCCTGAGGTCTATCCAAATAAGAGTTTACTGTTTTCAAGACTCATTTACTTGTGCACGCCAAGAGCCGGATCTATGACTATTCCTCTGCCAATTGCTGCTTATATCCGAAACCTTGTTGGTTCTTTCGATTAAACTATTCGAAAGAACAATGCACTTACTGGTCTAATTTTCTGAACAGCAGTATTTGGAACCAAATTTGTTTTAAACTATAATAGT